TCAAAATTTTAATATAGTAATTTATTTAGGGTATTTTAGGTATTTGGCAGCATCCGCTTACTATTTTCCTTAATGACAGTAAAAAAAAAGCATTACACACTACAGTCTATATGATGTTTCGAATGTGAAATGCAAACAAAGAAGCCACAACTTACTGGCGAGGCGATCGTTTGAGTCTCTCTTCATTGTGTGGAGTTACTCTATATAGAAATTAACATAGAACTTCAAGAGCTAAATAATTATTTTCTGAATCTACTATTGAGTTGCTTCTTTGTGTGGCATGCCTAAACCCAACTAATATCTTCCAAGCTTATGATGAAAGGAAATTGATACGTTTGACAGAGTTATATCCAAGTGATTTTCTACAATTGAGATTTTGGCTCTTAAAAATAAATTATTAATTTATATTATTGATATGCGCACTTGTGATAAGCTCTCCTCTCTAAGCAGTATTGTTGATCTTTCAAACCAAACTATTAAGTTCAAGAAGGAGGGTATGTATCCTTTGGTTTACAGACCTATTACTTTAACATTAACTTTATCAGTCGCCAGTGCTATAGTAAAGATAGCATTTTCTACAATGAAGATTGTCAAACATCAATTAGATAGTAGAATGGGTGATGATTGACTCAATGATTACTTGAAATTTTATATTGAAAAAGATGTGCTTGATTTAATTCCCAATGAAGTTGTAATATAACATTATCAAAAAAAGAAAAACAGATTATTAAACTTGTAATAATTTTCAATTTATTAATCATAATGATTTTGTTTTGAATTATATTTTTATTTTATTTTTTAATTATTACTCTATTTATATGCAAAATTTTCCCACCCTAAAATCAAAGGCTGGTTCTGCCCCTGTCTATATCAATAGTAAAATAACGATGAGTTGATAACAATCAAATAATTGATATTAAAACCAAAACTTAAAATTTTTTATAAATTTAAATTACAAGAATTTTTCACCTTAAATATAACAGAAGTTCTACTACAATCTTATATATATAGACACACACACACACAAAATCAATCTATTACAATAAATGCCTTCACAAAATAATACACAAAAATCCAAAAAAAAAAGCCCTTATCATGAGGGCAATTTTTTTACACAATATCAACCAAGTATTCGGATCTTTGTTTCCAAACTTGAGTGGCATCCACTCCAGCCTACATCTAAAAAGATAATTTGGAATCTGAAATCATGAAATCATGAATATGAGTAAGTTGACTGCTTATATCTTATTAATGCTGGACATTTGCAAGAAGAATGTCAATTAAACCACCACATATACTTAAAAATTTCAACAACAATGAAAAAGCTACTTAATAGTAACATATCAGAAAACTACATCTTAAACCAAATGAAACATATAGCCACGGCAACAAATTTGTCTTTCCTTTCAAGCTCTACAATGCTTTTCTACATAACCATTTATTGTAAGAAGAGACGTTGAGCATACTGAGATCCTAAATAGGATGCCAAAGCAGCCCAGGAGGCCATCCTAGTGCTCCAAATAACAACATAAATAATTATGTTTGGTAGTAGTAATAGAATAAAATTGCAATGAGCCATATTATATATGAATGGCCATAAGTTTTGGTTAAATTAATCTTAGATTGAAATCATTACAATCCGCTAGCACAATGTTTGAAAAATATATATATATAAACACAACTTTGCAACAGCAAGGTACTTTCAAATTTGTTCGGGAATGGAAAAAGACTGACGGAAAACAACACATTTAGGCTTCGTTTGGGACGGATTTTTTTATTACTTCTTAAAACAACTTTCTAGTTAAAAAATTAAAATTTATCTATTAGAAAGCTTCTTTAATAAGCAGTAAGAAAGCCGTCCCAAATGAAGCCTTAATGGTCAACAACTTCATGTAGGATTTGGGAAGGATTTATGTAAATCCTACCAAATACCTGAAAAGGAACTTTTAAATCCTAAGCAAAAATAAATGCTGGATTTGGTAGGATTGGATAAATATTAGATCAAATCAAGATTTATCATATCTATACTTATTTGGTATCCTATTTTAGACAGCATTTATTCAAGATTCTTAAATCCTGCTAAATAATTTTTTAGGGACTTCAAATCAAATTATTTTGATAAATATTATTTAAACCTGTTATTAGTTGAATAAAATTTGCTACATCTCATCATTCACAGGATTAAAGGGCCCCTCCCTCTCTTAAATCCATATACAAATAGAAAACAACTTATCAGGATATAGAAATAATTACCAGTTGTAATGCCAAATAGTTTTAAAGTTTTAATCCTTTAAAGAGTTAAATCTTACTTGTATCAGAGCAGGGTCTAAAATTTATAAGATTCACTAATGCTTATTAAATCCTACTCAAATAAAGATTTATTAAATTCTGCTTTCAGAATCCTAAATACTACCAAACCAGCATTTACTATAATATTCAAGTAGAGCATCAAAATTTCGACCTCATCAGACATTAACTAAGAGGGAAGGATAGCTTAATTTAAGAATATTCAAAGCCAATTCCTTTGAAAACATATAAATGAGAACCTAAGAGCATCTCCAATGGAACTGCAAACAACTATTTGCGGTTCTTCCGTCGCTCCAACCGAGCGGCAATTCTTACGTCATTTCATCGCGGATGAAAAGTGCGACGCTAATATTGACATTGCACTGTTCATCTTCGTCATTTTTTGGTCTCTACCAAACTTGCCGAAGAAACGCACGAAAGAAGAGAACGACTGTTACGGGGCAAAATGAAGTTCGATTGGAGATGAATCACATCATTTTTTAGTTTCACGGCATTTTGGAGTGAAAAATGAGATTTTTCGATTGGAGATGCCCTAACCCCTGTCATGCACAGATATAGAAGAAAATATTTATATATAGTAATAAATTTATCCAATTTTATTATGCAATATGCAGCGATCACAATACAAAATAAACCTTCTATATCTTTCAACTAAAGTTAGACGTCCAGATCCTCACAAAAGCCACTAACATAGTCACTGAGAGGTGATTCCTTCAATGGAACATGAATAAGATGATGCATACTCTTAGCCTCCAAAGGCTTGAGAATTAGCTGCCATGAAAATCATAAGCCTTCCAATGATGATAAGCAAAAATTACACATTAGAATATTAGAACACATTAGAAGTTTAAAAAGTGAATAAGTAAAAAATTACAGCCACCAAGCTACGAGCGAGACCAAAAATTACGTCTGATTAACCTGAACAATGCATGGCCACAAAAACTTTCATCTAAACTTTTAGTGTCTTACCTCTACATACTTCATTACAAATCACAAGATACGGTCAATAAATTAAAATTTTAACACCTAAGTTTCTTATTTTATCACATAATTTAAATGGATCTCCAACATTTCTTATTGTATCAAATAATTTAATAGTCATCTTCTTTATGCTTTTTTTTCATTGATAGCAACTACCAATAAAAAAACTTGAACAATTTCCGAAAGCAGTACCTAATTGAATCCTAACCTAGCATGACTGTCCTAATAATATTATAAAAAAGTTCCACAAAGAAATGTGTAAATTCATAAGGGAAAAGGAGGTAAGATTCTAACAATAATAAGTAATGCAAGACCACTCCAGAAGTGGTGGTGAGACAACGATCTTCTGTAGAGGTGAAAGCTGTAGCGATTAGAAGTATAAGACAATAATAAGAAGAGAACAAGAAGAAAAAAAAGAAAGAAGATAGAGAACTGAGGAAAAAGGAATTAGCATTGAGAAGGAAAAAAATGATTTGCATGTCCATGATAATCGTCCAGTACGAATCAGGTTCGTACTGTACGAATGGTTAGAAAACTTTTCAACTTCATCAGGATGAAAAGGTGCCCCACATTTTCATACTCTGGAAGTCGTCTGTACAAACAGAAAATCATACAGTACGATCCCTTCAAAAAAATTTGATATTCGACAGGACGAAAAGAGATCCGTCCAATTCATAATCTGGTCGTCGTCTGTACGAACAGGATATCGTACATTACGACAAGTTCAGAAAACTCTGGGATTCGTTGGGACGAAATGGGACCCGTCCAATTCGTACTCTGGACGTCGTCTGTACGAACAGGATATCGTGCAGTACGATCAGTTCAGAAAACTCTGGGATTCGTTGGGACGAAAAGAGACCCGTCCAATTTGTACTCTGAACGTTGGCTATACGACGTATGCTTGCAGGGAATTTTCGTTAGTCATTAACATTCTCTCTTCCATGCCTTGGATAAACCTATTTATAAAATTCAAATAAGATCAAAGAAAACCACCCAAGCATGCACCGAATGAGACATCAAAACCCACAATAATTACTAATAAAACAAGAAGTTGAAATCATAGCTAAAAAGAGGAAGCAATGGTTTTATATAGGAAGGTGCAATAACCACTCATGTGGAAAGGATTTAAGAAATAAAATAACAGAAATCCTACATTTAGAGAGCCTGAATATTCAATGTTATGCAATGCAATCTTCTAAAATCATAATGTTGATCATTTATAAATTGTGCAAATGATATAGAATAAACAAAATATCATTAGTTCGATATAGAATAAACAAAATATACATTAAAGATATATTTTTTTGTCACTACTTTAGTTCGATCATTAGTTTGTTGTAGAAAAAAAAAATAGTAGTAGTACTCAATAAATTCTATAATATCTTTCAAAAATAAAACAAAAATATAAAATCTTTATTAGATAGTATTATCTTAAGCAACCCTTGTAGTCAAATTATTTTTCATAAATAAAATTTGGCATTGGCTGCATAAAAAACAATAGTATTCTTTAAGCATGGAATAAATTGAGCCATTTAAAAAAAAAGTCTAACTTAACCAACATATTATCATAGCATCTAGCAATCCAAGGTAATCTCAATGCAAAATTCATTAATGAGTCAACCTTAGGAGTAAAAGGAAGGAAAGAGAAGTACACCAAGATTACCAGACAATCACACTAATGATGAATGCCAAAATTTTGCTTTAGTAACAAAACTCCCCATTTTACTTCTCCAACCAAGCTCTTCGTAGCTTGCTTTCCCTTGGCCTTCTGTATCTTTAAAACCATTTTAACAATCTTCTGCTCTTCAAAAAAAAAATAAAAAATAAAAAATAAAAAAAAAACACTAATGAATAAATAAAAACACAATAGATAAGAAGTCTAGGTTCAATTGCATGTTAAATGAATAATATTAAAGCAAGCTTGATGAGTGTGGTAACACCAATAGTCACATTTCATAGAAACTGGCAGGCACTATAAAACTAGTCTTAGTTCATGACTATCTCAACCAAAGTATGACTAGGTATTAGACATTCTCGAATGAGAAATAGCATAAAAAACATTCCAAAAAATATCAAACAAGCAAATGAAAAAAAATTAAAGAATATTAGCATAAATCCCAATCTTCATGCAGTGGAAAGCATATAACATAAAAAATAACCATTACGAATAACCTAAATTAAATTATTGCCAACATCTTCTAATAAGGGTTCTTTTTTCATGTTATAATACTATATAAGAATTTTCAAAAGAAGAAAGGTAAGGAAGAAAGAGTAACCATATAACTAAATTCTATCAACATTTTAAAAAAAATTATTGTATATGCAAGACTGTTCAAATCCAAGTAGACTCTTTAGAAATAATTCTTATTATATATCAATCTTCTTCTTAAACAAACTAAAAATCAATTACACAAATATAAGTAATTTAATTATTTAAATAAATTTTTAAAATTAAAAATATACTTACTAAAGCTTTAGGCCATACAACATAAGTTCCAATTGCCTATCCAATTGTTGTTAAAGTACTGTACGTTCTAATCAAGTGTTCTTCCTAATTCACAAGAATGTTTATATGAATTGAACAAATTTGAACCTAATTGATAGTTACCAACCCTATTTGTAGGATCCATAATTTGAATATATCTAATTGCCAAAGTTTTTGTAGAATCAAGAACACTTTTGACTGTAACATCAGTTCTAACCTATATATATGAAGTTTATAAGATCTAACAAAAAATTTGTAACAACATATGAAAGATCAAAATATGGTTATAAAATTCATAAGTAAATAATTTGCTTACTTGACTAAGAGTATTGTTATTGAAAGAATGTACATCACCATTTTGAGAATATTGAGTAGCTCTTAATGGGGTGGTATTAGTAGCTTACTGTGTACTTTGCATATCCAACTTCATTTTATGAACTACCTCACCCTGTTCTTAAACTTGTTTTTGCATTTTTTTGAAAGCTTCCTTGTAACCTTCTATTAATCGATAAACACTACTTCAATTTGGGATTTCTCCCCATGCAACATAAAGAGTTACACCAATTTCGTACATGTGAACTCTTCCGATCTTGCATTTTCAAGAACCTGTGAAAAAATTTCATCTCTTTCAAAATCTTCTGTTTGAGATGTTTGACTTCTTATTTCCTTCATTTTTTTTCTAAATATAATGAATATTAACTCTTTCACATAAATTTTTGTATACTTTATAATTAATTTATGAAATAGTTTATTATAAGTACTTACCAAAGCTTCACAAACCTCAACTCTATTAGCAATTCCATCTTTTGTGTAACACCTTTCAAACATTTTAATTCTCGTTGGTGAGTGACCTATGTTTTTCTCCAATAAAAATAAATAAATAATGTAAAAATTAATTAAAATAAAATAATAATTGATTTCAAAATTTATGTAGAACACACTCTTACACAAACATGTATATACATATAAACTTTACCTGATCTTCATGCACTTGACCGAAACTCTTTTTTCTAGTAATGTGCATCAAAATCTTTTTTGGCCTACTCTTTTTATTTTGTTCACTTATAAACTAAACACAAATATGAGTTAATAAAAAAATATAACATGAATAATACTTTTAAATTTAAAAGTTAAGATAATATACCTTTTATTCTTCTGAACTAATATGATAGAAGTTTTTTCCATTGATTTTGAGTATCCTTTTTGGCACATTACATAATTGTACTTCTATAGACATATTTGGATCATAATATCTAGATTTAACGTATGCTTTTCAATTCCTCCATTTCTTCCCAATAGATCGAAGAACCCATACATTAATACTACTTGGAATCTCAATTTTCTCTTGAAAAAATTAAAATTTTATTTTTATATCCAAAGAATTTTGCTATTTTATATATTTAACTAAAATCAAGCAAACAAGTAGACATATTATGAAGATAAATACCTGAACAACTTTTAACATATATTTTTTAAAGACTTTAGCATTTTATCCCAACTTCTTATATAAATAGGTGCATATTTTCTATTCAAAGCAATATTTCCTAAAAAATAAACAAATAATGATTTATTTTGTCCAATAGGTTGATCATATTTGTTAAAATTAACAATAAGTCATTCTCCACCATGTTGGGTATCATGAGATCCCCAAATACTATGCATATGGGTTGGACATCTTTTTCATTTTTACTCCAAATTGCTTCTACTTGCTATGAAAAAAATCTTAAAATTAAAATCTTGTAAGTAAGATAAATGCAAATGTAAAATAAGCATATAAAGTTTTGATAATATCTTAAATAAGTGACAAACCTACAATATAATTTTCAATGATATTTGTTGGAACATCTATTTCAACTTCAGTTTGTTCTTTGCATCATGTATTTCTAACATGTGTTCTGGTGTGTGGTGGCATTTCTTAAAAAATATCATAAAACATATACGTGAAGATTTTAATAGAAGATGAATAATGCAATTTGTTAACCATGTTTCTCACATAATCTATGAAAAAAATAATGTGTATAATATATTAAAAAAATTGTATGGTTTAATACATCAAAACTAAATGCAACCTTTAGATAAACAAACATAAGAAACACGTAAAACAACAAAATATTATGTAGTAATTAGATTGATATAAGGATCTAATGATACAAGTATAAAAAATAGTTTAACATTAGAAAATAAATATCACATAAATCAATTACTCTAGTAGAATGCCATTAATTTCATCTCTAGTCCACTTAACTTCATCATCAATAAAATACTGTTGAGTAGAAGTATCATTTTGCAAGTAGTCATCAACATCCATGTGTATGTGAATGTTATTAATATTATTTCTTGGTGATGTTGTAACAATAATATACCATGTAGGATCAGTAGGATCTTGCACATAAAAAACTCATTGAACTTGAGAAGCAAGCACAAAAGGTTCTTGATGTCGTTTAATTTTATTGATATTAGTCAAGATGATGCCATCCTCATCCTCCTCCTTTAGTCTCTTTCCTTTAGAAACCCAATCACATTCAAATAAAATAAAACTTTGTTCTATTGTGTAGTCCAATTCAATTATATATTTTAAGATCCCATAGTATGTCAAGTTACTTATAATAGGGTTCTTATCTTTGATACTAGTGAAGCTTGAAGTTAAAACTTTAACCATTACTCCAAAATTTTGAGTTTTTCTTTGTTTCATCAAATCTACAACATGAAATCTAAAACCATTTATAAAGTATTTCTTATATAGAGTTATAATATTGGATGGACCAGTGCCTCAAATCAGTAGAAATAATATCATCCTTCAATGGGTCAATTGAAACAATCTATTAAAACAAAATAGATTTCATCAATAAAAATTCTCATGTAAAGTACATTAGCATTATAGCACTAATCTTATTAGCAAATCACGAAACGAAATCCTTATTGTGCACTTTTTTAGCTTCATGCTCTCCGTAGAGAGACCTTTTTTGTCTTATCATTTGTTTAACTTTAGTGTAATGTTTATTGTATATAATCATAAAATTTATAAGAATATAATAATAGTATTTATATAAAAAATGAAAATATGTATTCTTCAACTATTTTTTTACCTAACACATGGCTCTATTTCCTTACAATTGAAAAGGACACATTGATATACTTTTATGAGTGCCTCATCATTGAAGATCTTGACATCTATTTTTCCAAGTGCCCGAACATTTGTTTCAAAGATATTAAGTCCTTCATTCAAAACATTTTCATCCAACTCATTTCTTCCAAGTAGATTTTGCCTTATTTCCACATCCTCAGTAAAATATAAAGAGAAAAATATTAAACATTATTCTGCAATATAGCCTTTTGCAATTGATCTCTCTAGACGGCTTCTATTTCAAACATGGCTTTAAATTCCTCAAAAATCTAAAAAATTTGTTTAATAATGATATAATTTTTTTATTAAAGTTAGATATGATAAAAGAAATAATAATACATGAAATAATTACTAACCTCTCAATAGGATACATCCAATGATAATATGCATGCCCTCCAATCCTTGCCTCAATGGCCAAGTGAATTGTCAAATGTTCCATAATATCAAAAAAAGGAGGAGGAAATATCTTTTCAAGCTGGCAAAGTGTAATTGTGATTTCTTTTTCCAATTTAAGAAGCTCACTTGGGAGAACTTCTGAGCACAAGCCTTGAAAAAATAACTCAATCGAATTAGAGGAGAGCGAATCACCTTAGGCAAGACTCATCTTAGGCCTAATGGAAGCAATTGTTGCATTATTATGTGATGATCATGACTCTTTAATCCAAGTATTTTCAACAGTTTTAGTTGCACTCAACTTGAAATTTTAGATGCATATCCATCTAACACTTTAATATTTTTTAAGATTTTATAGAAAATTTCTTTTTTTATATATATAGTAAAGCATGTAGCATATAAATAAGTATGTCTAGATTAAGTTCAAGTAGGGTGCAATGTAGGGTATATTCCCATTTTCTTCATGTCTTTGCATGCATTCAAATGATATTTTGTCTTTCAATCAAGATCCAATAACATACCCAAAAGCTTATCACATACATTCTTTTAAATATGCATAATATCTAAGTTATAACGTAAAAGATTTTTGTCCCAATATTAGAAACTTGAAAAATATACTAAACTTTTTTACAATTATAAGGCAAATTAAGATTAGCAGGTATTTTCTTTTCAAACTTCACATTTATACTTATTAACATATCAACAATTTTGGATCTATTAATTGGTGGTGGTAATGTCCCATGTTCTTTAAAACCATTAAAAGATTGACTATCTTTTCTATAAGGATGATCGTGATCTAAGAACCTACGATGTCCCATATAACATCTTTTATGACTAAAATGTAACGGATCAGAACATGTACTCCCCTGACAAATAGGGCATGCAAACTTCCCTTTTGTATTATAAACCTGATAAGTTAGCATAACATGATAAATCATTTATAGTCCATAATAATGCATCTTGTATTTCAAAATTTTTCTTAGAACATACATCGTAAGTCTACACACCAATTTCCCATAACTCTTTAAACTCAGCCATAAGTGGTTGTAAATAAACATCAATATCATTCCAAGTTGAGGTGGCCCATGAATAAGAAAAGAAAGCATTATCTATTGTGGTTTCATATACAAGTTAGGTGGTAAATTATATGTCATCAATACAACAGGCCAAGTACTGTGAGTTGAAGTCATTATCCCAAATGAATTAAATCCATCTGATGTTAAACCCAATCATACATTTCTAGGATTTGCAGCAAAATTTGTATCTTGGTAGTCTATGTGGTGTCAAGCTGGAGTGCCAGTCAGATGCCTCTTGCAACAATCTTTTATGTGATCTTCTTTATGCCATATCATATATGATGCAGTCTTAGATAACATGAATAATTTCTACAATCTTGATGTTAATGGGAAGGCCACATGATTTTTCCTGCAACCTTTTTATTTTTTTACTTAATATGTCTTTTAAATTGCTATCTTCAACAACCCATCTTGACTCATTATGAATATTACATTCAATCTTAAATTCATGAGGTCCCCAATATAAAATGCAATCATTGCAACATGCATCATATTTTTCATAACTTAAGCCCAAATCTTGAATTATCATCTTTGTCTCGTAATAAGACTTTGGTAGATGAATATAATAAATGATTTCTGAGTCCAATTGCTAAAGCCTTTAAGTCGAAGTAGCCTAATAAGAAAATCAAGTTTTGAGAATTTTGTACATCCATGAAATAATTTTTGTTGTGAGTCACTTGTCAACTTATAAAACTTTATAGCATCCGTATTTGGTTTATTAATTTCCTATTGCTCATATGTAGTATTACTTTCAAACCCAAATTCATTATTTAATAACCCTTCCATGTCATCATTAACATCATCAATAATGAGGGAATGTAATCCAATGCCATTTCTAAATGAAGTTTCTCCTTGAGTAGTCCAATTGTAATATCCAAGTTTGAATCCTCTCCAAAGAAAATGAGCTTCAACATTTTCTCTTGTCCTACAAATTCCATTTCCATAATCTCTAAATGGTCATAGTATCATTCCACTTGAACTTCCATAAATGAATGCAAAAATTAGAAAGTTTTGAACTCCTTTAAAAATCGTATTACTCCTTGAACAATACATCCAACTTCTATCCATTTCCATATTAGAACCTTAATGTAGAAAATGAGAAATGAGTATTAGAAACCATGAGTAAATTCTTTGATTTGCATTATAAATAAACAAGTGATTAAGCATGGAGTAAAAAACTCTTCATACAAAAATAAAATCTTATATGATATTATTGATAGTTAATTTTTGATGGAATTAAAATTTTTGATAGGCTATCCTGAAAAATAACAACCTAAAAGCTTGAAGATAAGTTATTATTCGAATATGCAAGTTCATAATGCCATGAAATGATTGGTTCTTTCCATTTGAGTGAAAAGCCGTGAATGTTTATTTTTATGATGGAAAATTTATTTATTCATCGAAGAAGTAGGCTTTGAGCCCCACCAGAAAATATAATGATAGATTTGAGCAATCGAGAATAATTTTTGCATCAATTGTGTTTGCTAACATAAGAGAAATAAAGTAATAAATATAGCTTTAACAAAATAATGTTTTCATAATTTCTTAAAGGTAAAAGAGTTCTAAGAGTGTTAGTTCTTTTTTTAAACATTGAGTCTCCATTACTCTTAAGATAATAACTTCAACAAAGAAATGTTTTCACATTCATGGTTTGTATTAAATTGGTTCGAAGTGAATATTTTCTAACAAATTGAGAAGGGATGTAAGCTAGTCTTTTCTTGTATTCTGTGTACGAACAAAAAATGAAGACATTATAATTAAATATCAAGTTTTAGTCAAGTGGAAATTCACAAAAATTATCTTTTAAAATATTATACAATAGGGGGTCTAAGGGGGTAGCGCCCCCTGACAGGGTTGGACCAGAACAAATAGATTGATATATTGTAAGTGGGAATACATCAACTTTCAAGTATTCATTGCTATGGAACAATAATATTGATAAGAACATAAATATCAACACTGGAAAATGAAGAAAACAAAAATCAAAGAATCTTAGATAAAAAAAAAATTAAAGAACAAAAAGTCAATATCAACAGTGAAAATTGAACAAGAAAATGAAGAGTACAAAAATCAAACCAATGTCTGGATAAACTTTAAGATCAGTGAATTATTTACCTCTTTTAGCAATATACAATTAGTCAGCTTTTGGTTGATCGTTCAGAAATGGGGAGAACTTAAAGAACCCTAGAAATCAAAAGAGGAAAGAAGAAAAGTTTATTGAATCGTAAACAGTGGCTACTTAATATTCAAAAGATTAATTCTTGTGATTAAAATCATTTTACCTGATGCCGTGGTCAGTATTATTGATGTAGCAACAGCGATCAACGAGAATTAGCAATAGAAAATGAAGAGAATGCCCATTAGCAATGGAAAATAAAGAGAACTTGCATTGAGCATTTCATTAAGGAAGCGAGCAGTTGATATGAGAAAGACAAAAGACTATGAAAAAGCTGGCAAGAAAACTTATCCTACGATGTCTCGTGGCAAATCCTCTATTAATTAGCATGAAAAGAGAATACGCCCTAATAACTATTTCTTAAGGCACTTAAATAAAAATGTTTCAATATATATGTCCTTAAAAGTTATTTTTTTATAGTGTCAGAATATCTAGTGTCAAAGGATTTTCATACTTATCCATTAGCTAGATGTCAAAAAAACTCATTTATATTTCTTTACTTAATATGCAAAATCATCTCTTTAGTGGATGTATTTGGTTTGAATAATATTTGAAGTTTAGGAATTAATGAAAAATATCATATGACTTTAGCTAACTTCATGTGAGTTTGCTTTATTCCCACAAGACTCTTTTAGTACCAGCCCGCCTTGAAAAATTCACAAATATGTGAGATCTTTTGATCAATCTATCTTTTAAGAATAGAGTATAATCATTAGGACATGCATCAATCTTTGTATATCCAAGATCAAATGCTTTCATTATCTTGATCACTTCATATATGTTCTTAGGTAACAATACTCATTAAGGGAAAAACTCCAACAATATATCAAAAGATCTACCAGTCTATGATTGATTAATATTTGAGACTAGTAGATTAGATTCATTCTGGAAGGTTTGAGTTGGAAATTAATGATCAAGATATAGTGTTTTGTGGGAATATAATGTAGGTTCCATATAATGGTGATATGAGAAAAAGGATTCTAATTGAAGCCCACTATTCTAGATATATAATCCATCCAGGAAGCAACAAGATGTATAATGATTAGAGACAATATTTTGTGTTTTGAATTGAAGTGCGACATAGCTGAATCTATCTCCAAGTGTGAAACTTTTTAGGTAGTAAAGGTTGAGAATCGAAAGCAAAATGAATTGTCACAATCTTTGTCTATCACTAAGTGGAAATGAGAGAGATATTTATGAATTTTGCTATGAGTTTTCTAAATTGCAATAAAGACATGATGTTGTGTAGGTTATTATAGAAAGATTAACTAAGTCCACTCATTTCATACATGTGAGATTGACATATTTTGAAGATACGCAACTCAACAATATGTGAAGAAAATTATTAGATTACATGTGATTCCAAATATCATTATTTTTAATCAAGATGACATTTTTTCCTCTAATTCATAGAAGAGTATTTGTGAAGGTTTGGGGAAGAAGTTAAAATTTTAGTACTACCTTTCATCCTAAAATAGATAGATAGTCTGAAATAGTTATTCAAATGCTTAAACATCTGTTAAGGCTAGGTGAATTAGATTTTTGAGAAATTAGGAAGGATCATATCCCATTAATAGAATTTTCCTATAATAATAGTTTTTAATTTAGTATTATATGGAATTGTATGAAGCTCTATATTAAAGAAGGTGCATAACTATATTATCTTGGCTAAAGGTGGGTGAAAGGAAATTAATTGGAAGTAAATTGGATGATAATGCTATATGGAAGATCAGATTGATTAGGCAAAGATTACAACAACTTAGGATGGACAAAAGAATTATTATAATATGAAGCATAGGGTTATAAAATTTTAAGATGGTGATTTTATCTTTTTGAAAGTTAGTTTGATGAAAAGTGCAAGGATATTTGGTAAAGATACTAATTTGAGTCCAAGATATATTGGACCTTTTTAAATAATTAAAAGAGTTAGAGAGTTTTCTTACAAGTTATTTGTACCAAATCACATGTTAGATATTCATAATGTTATTTCATGTATCTATGCTAATCAAGTTGGTCTCTGATCTGAATAGAGAGTTCTTAATAATGAAAGGTGAGATTTAAACTTTAATTGGAAGATTTATTCTAGGATAAGTGAAATACTCAAATGGGAGATCAATTCCCAAAAGAGTGAATTTAGAACCTAACCAATAGATCAATTATTAGAAGGTGAATTTAAACTTTGACTGGAAGATTGATTTTCCGAAAAACTTGAAATATTTGAATGGGAGATTGATTCCCAAACGAGTTGATTTAGAACCTGATTGATAGATTAATTATTAGAAAGGTGAAATTAAACTTTGATTAGGATATTGATTCCCAAACAACGATGGATACTCAAATAGGAGATCGATTCCCAAGTGAGCGAGTTTAAAACTTGACTGTTAGGTCAATTATCAGAAAAGTGACTTTAAACTTTGACTGGAGGATTAATTTTCAAAAAAAGCAGAATACTCAAAAGGGAGATCAATTCTCAAATGAGCTGATTTATAACCTAACCAATAGATCGATTATGATAAAAGAAGAATTTAAACTTTAATTTGTAGATTGATTCACTGAGCATAAGTTTCTTGGTTCTTCCATTTACTGTGAACATAGATCATTTTAACTTTATATAACTCAAGGTTCTATGGATAAATGTTTATCATCTAACTAGAGTTTAGCATTTTGTTCTGAAGTAATATCATATTTTACTACAACTCTGAGTGAAGGTAGTTATACTTCTAAAGGGATAATAGGCTTTACACTAAAGACCTAAGCATACGATGTAGATTTAGTTAGAGTTCTATATGTGGTTTGGTATGCTTATAAAGCTTTAACCAACTTCTCATGCCATTGGCACTTATTGTAATATAAGGTCTTCTTAAAGCTCTGAACCAAGGGTTTTATTGAAGGCCTCTACCAGTCCATTTTTCTGAGGGTAATAGATGGTAGAGTATCTCCAATCATTATTGTAAAATCTAGTGAAATTGTTTATTTTTGTACTTTACAATAAAGGACCACTATATGAGATAATCTGGTGAGGAGCATCGAATTGGTACAAAACATTCTCTTTAAAAAACTTTAGAATATGATAAGCTTTGACTTATCTCAAAGGAACTTGTTCTACCCACTTCGAGAAGTAGTACATACTACTAGTATAAATCTGTGACCTCTAGACGATGGAGGACCTATCAGATCGATGATATCCATACCCCAAACTTTCAAAAACCCATTAAGTGATGGTTTGAAGTATGACATTTGGTGGTTGATGTAGGACTACACCATGCACCTGATATTGATGACAATGACGTGCAACATTCATGCAATCATATATCATAGATGGCCAATAATATCCCATTCATTTTATTTTCATTTTCATCATTGGCCCGAATTGGTGTGTACCACATAATATATCATATACTTCTTCTATTATATTATATGCTTCTGATTTATTAAGACACCGCAATGACATCTGATCAAATGATCCTCTATATAGAGTGTCGTTAATTAAAGCATCAGACAAGTATCATCTCTTGACCTCATCTGTAGCTTATTTCTCTAGAGGGAGCTTGTTTTCTCACAAGTATTCAACAAATGATTTTCTCCAATCTATAACTTCATTGTCTACTGCTAAAATAATTTTAACCTCAGTTAGGAATTTTATGTTTATATATTAAAAACCTATGGGAGATAGAACATGCCGACCTTACAATTCTATTAAAATTGAGTCTTCCTCAAAATATGCTAGTGCCTTAGCTAACTTACCAAGAGCATCACTCATCAAATTCCTAAAATTCATATATTAAAAATTCATTATAAAAAATAAAAATTTTTATTACATTTAATTTGCATCCAACAAAATAATTTACTCATTTCTAAAATAGAGATATTTATTTACATTATAATTAAAATTTCACTAAATTTCAAATTCATAAAATAGTCCATATTGCAACAAATTTAGATCTAGTTAAGCATTACCAATGATCATAATTGTCTTTCATTGCCCAAGATCATAGAAAACAAATAATAAAGAAAAATAAAAGAGAAGAACAACTGAAAAAAAACTACTAACCTCTTTAAATCCCAATGCAAAGAACAAATGAAAAGAGTAAATATGAGGAGAATTATATATTACTCAAGAAAAAGCTCCTTGTGTCAACTATAATGGCATATACACATTTATAAAACTATATTGTTGGAATACCATACACCTATCATTGCAAAATTTTGAATTAGAACATAAATAAAATCTAAATCTAATTACATATGGGTACATTTACAATTATGATAACTTTAAAAAAATGCACATACCTAGAATCATTGTTTCATATTATCCATGGTAAGGTCCCTTCCTTCTCTCCCTAGCTTTGTTACCTAACATGGCATCGAGTTCCAAAATGGCTGCAATTGACCCCCCAAATCCTACACCAAATAATATTTCTAATACAATCATGAAACTTCTATTTTTGGAGATGTGTCACCCATACTTGCAAGTGATGTGGTTGTATTGTTCGCTACTAGAATTGATGTGTGGCAAGAAAACAAATGCAGTCCCTCATTTCCTTCAAATGAAATGTTTAGGAAAGAACATAATTGACCACCTTGTAGAATTGTTCCAACCAAGTTGTTATAGAAGAGGTTTAAATATGACAAGAAATGCAATGAAATATGTTCCTGTAGAATTTTATTGTAAAGTTATTCCTTGAAAGATTTGATGACTCGAGTCATACCAAATTTCCTAATTTTGGAGGAATTTCACTCGTCAAATAGTTTTGTGACATGTTTAGTACTTGGAAATGTAAATTGCCCAATAATGGAAGGGATCACTCCAAAATGATTATTGGAAAAATCTATTAGCATTACATTTCTACCATAATAATTTTATAGAGTTATTAGTTGCCCTTTGTTCATGATGGTTACCACAAATAGATCCTCCTATCAGTGCATAATAATGAAATAATTGATTATCTTTAATTCATTTGTCATCAATGACTTAAAATTGTTGAAGCACATTGCAGATAAATTTTCACTAAAGTTGTTAGAAGAGATGTCAAATACATTCATCGTAGAAAAGGAATAATTTGTTTCATGGCTTTCATCGGGTGGCCCAATTGACCCATAGAACTTATTAGATCCTAGATCAAGGATTCTTAGAAGAGACATATTTTCTAACAAATACGAAAATGTTTCCTTCAAGTTATTGTTCCCCAAGTTCAAAATTTTAAGTTATCGGGAACTAGATAGAGATCTGGAAAGCAATCCCTCTAATTGGTTGTCTATGAGAATTATGATTTGTAACACACATTTTGGACTAATTCCATAAGGTACAACTCCATAAACTCAATTTCCTTTTATATTTAAAGCAAAGCGATCGATTCATTCTTCTAGTAAACATGGTGGAACAATACTAGTTAGCTTGTTATTAGATAAATCAAGTGCCTTGAGTCTTGTTTAGAAGCCTCTCCCACCATGTATCGCTGGACTTCTGGCCTGAAAGATTTACAAGCATGTCCAACCAAGATTCTGAAATGGTAATTCCATTGAAGTTATTTTCAGAGAAATTAAGAGTGTGTAAAAATGTGAGATTAAAGAGGAAATGATTTATTCTATCGATGATGAGTAGACCCATTAGGACGAGCCCAACATTCCTTCCATATTCATCACATGCCACATCCTCCCAGATGCTACAGTCCGTTCTTGGATGCCATGACTTCATCTTTCTAATGGTAAAACCTTTCTTTAGTTGGAGAAGTGTTGAGTTCTCTACTTCATGGCTTCAACTAGTAGCATCATAGTTGGTTAAGAAAGTTGCAAAAAGAGAAGCATGAGGAGAAAGACAATGAACTTGAAATGAAACAGCTCTATGAAGAAGCACGGAGCTTTAAAAAAATGAAGCATCAATTGACCAAATCATAAGTCTTAAGGGTTGATATGAGAAAAACTTAGGGTTTAGGGTATATTTTTATCAATTTTAGGAAAAACTTAAATCATAAAACACAATATCACTAAAAATAAAAGTAGGAATCATGTTACCTATCATGATTAAAGGAAATCTTTGAACATAACCATTGGATGAAGAACCCCGGAAGACTTTCTCACTCTTTGTTATCTCATCCTTTCTCTCCCTTCCTTGCTATTCTCCCCCCGACACTTTCCTTAGAAAGGAATTAAATGAGTGGAGGTGTAGTGGGAGGTAGGAATTTATATTAAATATATTTAATGTGCATGGCTCCACAATGCCCAAGATCCAACCTCATTGCGCTGCTTGTCGCCTCCAGAGTTGCTATAAATCAGAGAACTCAGCACAACGGGGATGCTTGCTCTATTATTCCTAGAGCCATTGTGCTCGTCAAGATAGTGCCACAACATTGTATGTAGAATTTTCATATTTTAAGTAATTATTATTTGAAGAAATTTAGGGTTATTACACCATGAATGGAGAGGACCCAAAAGATCTATCTTATAATAATGTGAAAATCTCTTCAAATGATAGCTTGGTTAGACGAGTTCACTAGTCGAACTTAATGTGTGAACTATGAGATTTGTAAGAGTGAATATCATCCTGTCTCCGACCTTGTTCCAATAAAATCTTCTCAAAGCAAGGTTTATTTTGGGCGAGCGCGCCTTCTGATCGTGCTTATCGAGGGTGAACCTCTATGATACATGTGATTGACCAACATATATATATAGACATTTGCTTGGACTTTTGGTGAGCAATTGTTAAGTATTATCACAAACTTATAAATGATCACTATCAATATTGCTTAAGATTTCTAAAAAAATTCACAAGGAACAAAACTTTCTTGATTACTATTTTATTAGCCACATGTTTAACCGTCCATTATAGAGGGAGCATAGATGTTACCTATGATAGAGTATCCATAAAATACAATCTTTTTTATAGTGGAGTTCATGTGTGTTAGGTTACTGATAAATATGATCAGTATAATTTTGTATATTTTAATTAATAAATATAATTCCATTAAATTTTAAAATATTTTAATAATAGTCAATCTTTTAATATCTAAAAAAATTAGTTCTTTTCTATTGTGATGCCAATTTTTTAATTTTATTTTCAAATTTCTTAAAATAATTTATTTATAAATTTTTTATTATTTTAAATTTATGATTTTTTGCATTATGTTATAAAAAATATTTAACTTGTAAATTACATTTATGTATAATCTTGACACTAATGCTTTCAAAATCTTATATTACAATTAAAATAGGATTGTTGATATACAACTTTAACTGACAACCACCAATATAATGCAAGCAGATGCCTCATATGGTTAGTATCTTCTACAAATACTATAGACCGCCGTCACCTGCCACCAATAGCCTTCTGTCACCAGCACCATAGTAGCCATCAACAAATATCACCGACAGCCGTAACTTATCATCTACCACCTTATCACCTCCATCACTTGTTTAATTTTCAAGAAGCATATGTTTAAAATGCATTGTAAAAAATAATTTTTTTTTGTTACATTTAACTTCCATCCAACAAAATAATTTATGTATTTCTAAATATACATATTTATTTACGTTATATTTAAAATTTCATTGAATTTCAAATTCATTAATTTTTTTTGCCACCAATTTATAGAAGAACAGATGAAAGACATGATTAACCAATTTAAATCCCAGTAACACAAAAAAAGAGTAGATATAAGGAGCATTATATAATATTCAAGCCAAAGCTCACTGAGCAAACTATAAAGGCCAATACACACCTCTGAAACTGTAGTGTTGGAATAAAAAATCTAGTAGTTGTAGATTCTACAAATACCAGAAGCCTATCAATGCAAAATTTTGAATTAAAATATAAATTAATTCTAACATTTGACTACATTTACAAGTATGATAACATAAAAGAAAAAAAAAAAAAAAAAAAAAAAAAAAGAACACTTACCTAGTGTTTCATGTTATCCATGGCTAGTTCTCCTGCTTCTCCTCTTTGCTTTGTTATAGAACATGACATCGAGCACCAGAACAGTTGCCATTGACCCCCCAAATCCCACACCAAATAATGTTCCTAATACAATCATGTAACTTCTATTATTTGGAGATGTGCCACACAAACTTGGAGGTGATGTGGTTGTATTGTTTACTGCTAGAACTAAATTGTTGAAACAAGAAAACCAATGTAGTCCATCATTTCCTTCAAATGAAGTGTTTGTGAAAGTACATAATTGACCTCCTTGAGGAATTGTTCCAACCAACTTGTTGTAGGAGAGGTTTAAATATGACAAGAAATGTAATGAAACAAATTCTTGTGGAATTTTACCATAAAGTTTATTCCTTGAAAGATCTAATGACTCGAGTTGTACCAAATTTCCTAATTTTGGAGGAATTTCACCAGTCAAATAATTTTGTGACATGTTTAGTAGTTGGAGATAAACATATTGCCCAATAATTGAAGGGATCTCTCCTTCAAAGTGGTTGTTGGAAAAATCTATGGACATAATAAATGTATCATGATAATTTTGAAGAATCTTTAGTTGCCCCTTGTTCTTCTTGGTGATCACATATACAAACATCCCGTTGTTTAAAGTAATGAATTTATAGACATCTCCCCCTAATTCATTTGTGATCATTGACTTAAAACTGCTGAAGCACTTTGCAGATAAATTTCCACTAAAGTTGTTAGCTGAGATGTCAAATACATGCATCATAGGAAAATCATAATTTGTTTCATGGCTTCCATCAGGAGGCCCAATTAACCCATAGAACTTATTAGATCTTAGATTAAGGATTCTTAGAAGAGATAAATTTCCTAACCAATAAGGAAATTTGTCCTTCAAGTTATTGTTCCCCAAGTCCAAGATTTCAAGTGATCGGCAATTAGATAGAGACTTAGGAAGATATCCCTCTAATTTGTTGTCTCTGAGAATTATGATTCGCAACACACATTTTGGACTAATTCTATGAGGTATGGCTCCATGAAGTTGATTTCCTCTTAGATTTAACACAAGGAGATTGATTCCATCTTCTAGCAAACATGGTGGAATAGTACCTGTTAGCTTGTTATTAGATAAAATAAGAATCGTGAGTTTAGTTAAGTTGCATATGAATGGTGGGATTTCTCCAGTCAAGTTATTATTTGCAAGAGAAAGGAAAGATAAACGAGATTGTGAAGTGGTGTTGGAGGGGATTAAAGATGTGAATTGTTTAAAATCAACTATTCTACCTAGCCAACTCGGTATTTTACCACAAATTATATTATTTGAGAGGTCCAGGTTGGTCATCTGATCTTGATATTTTATGAATGTAGGGATCTTAGTTAGATTGCAACCAACTAGTTTCAAAATTGACATCTTAGGAAATGAAGATGAGGAAGATCCAATATTTGCATCAAGCTGAGTTAAAGAAAATCCACTATTTGAAATGTCCAATGTCGAGAGATTCTTGAGACCATCAATGAACTCCAACCCCACAACTCCATTGAAATTGTTATATGATAGATCCAAGTACACGAGCTCTGATAGATTTCTAAAGGAAGATGGGATTGTACCATTGAATTTACAACTTGAGAGATCTAAATTTGTTAAAAACTTGAGGTTGCCTATCGAATTAGGTAAATTCCCTGAGAAATTGGTATTAAAAACCCACAAAGTTTTTAAATTATTGTACTTTGAAAATTCAGGAATATAACCGGAAAGCGTCGGATTATGTGAGATGTCAAGATATTTCAAATTTCTCAGTTCAAAGATTTGATAGGGAAAAAACCCTTTGAAATTATTTCCTACAAGGCAAAGCTCAGATAAAGAAGAAAAATTGCCAAATGAAACAGGGATGTTAGAGTCCAAATTATTATTATTAAATCTGATAATGGATAAAAAAGGGAGCATGTGTAGAGAGGAACAAATGGCACCGAAGAGGGAGCAACTACGCATGCTCAACAGCTCAAGTATAGGAGTGGAATTGACCAGAACACCACACCATTCATCCCGATATGATAAAACATTTACATAGTCAAGAATAAGCTCCTTTAGACTGGTCATGTTTTGCAAAATCATCGGATTAATAGCTAGAGAATTGCTGGAGAGGTCGAGGAAAGTCAATTTTTTTAAGCGAGAGATACTAGCAGGAACACTCCCAGCAAATTCAGCATTAGAAAGATCAAGGCTTGAAAGATTTACAAGCCTATCCCACCCAGAGTCCGGAATGGGAATTCCATGGAAGTTACTTTGGGCCAAACTGAGAGATTCTAAAGATGTGAGATTGAAGAGACTTGAATCAATTGTACCACCGCTAATGAGTACAACACTTAGTTTGAGCCCAATGATCCTTCCATATTCATCACATGCCACACCCTCCCAGATGCAGCAGTTCGTTCCTGGCTGCCATGACTCTAACAGTGCAGTGGTAAAACCTTTCTTTAGCTGGAGAAGTGCTGAGTTCTCCGCTTCAAGGCATTGGCTGGCAGCATTGCAGTTGATCAGGAAAATCTCCAAAAAGAGAAGAATGAGGAGGGAGACAACGAACTTGAAATGGAACAACTCCATGAAGAAGCTCAGAGCTCTCAAAAAACGAAACTTTAAATGGAGAAAACAGAAGTCTTGAGGGCTGATCGGCAACTCATTAGGAGGACTTAATAGTGGAGGACGACTCTAATTTCAATTGGCGATGGTTAATTGAAATCAGCTTTTTTTATTAGTGGAGGACTCCACAAAGTCCTGACTTTGGTCATTTGGTCGGTTGGTGTTTTTCATTTTATTATTGGACAGCCACAAAGTCGTGATTTGGTCTGTTGGCCAAATTTTAAATATAATTCAGATTATAATTCAGATTCTATGAGTTTAGTCTTTTTTAGTTGGACAAACTTTAAATATAATTCAGATTATTAATCAAATGAAGTAAATTTTATTTTTTTTAAAAAAAATTTTAAACGTTATAGTCGCCAGAAAAATGCTGGCGAGAGAAGCAGGAAAAATAAAAAAATTTTTTTTTTGCCATTTTATTTTTTTACTAGTATATTTTTTTAAATGTAATTCAGAATTATAATAATATTTATTTAAAATGATATTTTTTAAATAAGATAAATTCAAAATAATAATATTATATTTTGAAAAAAACATTTAATAGAATTATGAAAATTAAATAGTAAGATTTTCTTACACATAATAACTTATAATTCATAAAAATATTTTAATTCTAATTATTTGTCAAAAAAAATATTTACACTTAAAGTTTCAATAAAAATAAAAATAAAAAAATATGTTCTTCCTCCTCTCCAACTGAACAAGTCAGACAAAAAAAAAAAGTTTATAAATTTTTGTACTTTCTCTCTCCCACTTCTTCCTTTTGCTTATCTATAATTATAATTATCAATTAAGCCCAAAATTTAATAAGAAATAATTTGATTATATTTTATGTTGTTATTAAATATTTATTTTGTTAAATACGAGATGAATGCGATTGAATTGAGCTTTCTTTCGTGTTCGACTCAATTAAATTTGAAGCTTAAAATATTTGTTCTTGTTCGGATTATTTATTTAACAATTGAATAAAATAGGAGCTTTTATATGCAGAGTTTCAACAAGGAAAGTGTCTGCCCATCTCTAACATTTTTCTAATGAATACCGCTTTAGTTGTTTGATGCAAACAAGTTATCTACATATAGGCATTAATGAACATATATTTAGTTTATTGATTCACTTGCTCTTTAGAAGAGTTACCAGTGAAAGGATGAGGGAATTAAAAAAGAAAATTTTAATATCCCAAATAAACAAAAAAGAGAAACTAAATAGAAATTTCTACCTTACTTTTAAAGTTTCCTTAGGATGAGCTATGTCATCCAAGATTCTCATTATGAAGTTGGTTTGGCCTCCATAATATCTTTGGCCCTTTATAGTCGTAAACAGCATTGATATGCCAACATTTTCTAATTTTTCTTTATTTTAGCTTTGTTTTTCTAGCACTCATGAGCGATAATCAAGTCAAGTCCCATGAAGTATGATGATGTGGACAAATAGAAGTTATGGAATGCTGTTTTCCATATATGTAAAGTAGTGCAGTCAGAAGGACATAAATGCTTAGAGTAGTTCTAATGTTAAATAATCACTCCTTGGTCTTTCTCCTCTCTCATACGAAATCACATAGTAGACTTGCAATGGGAGTGAGTTGAGAAGTAAACAAGTTCATAGTATCAAAAATATATTTAAAAAAATATTAATGAAACTCCCTGTATTGATAAGGATACGGTAGATCTTGTAGTCGGCAACTGTTTAGTGACCACCTAAGCATTTCTAAAGGGGTTGCCACTCACCAGTTTATCTTATTTGGTGAAAGTAATATAGGTGACCTAAGCTACTGACATTCTGAAAATAATCATTGAGTTAACTACACCAAAAATTATCTCTTGATACTTACTCGTTGAGATTTCTCAGCTTTAGCTTATATGAGGATAAGAAGCATTAACTCATTCCCCAAGTCTTTAATTTATCCTTTCCTACTTACCTACTAATTATGCTTAGATTAACCTCTTCAACTTTCCTTCTTTTATTAACTTCTCCACCAAGCTATAGATTTTTTTGGCACTTCTCATTGTATTTAAGTCATCAGTATGGTATGCACAAATTATGTAGGCATCACTAATGAGTACACCGTCTTCCTTGACAAAAATCATAAAGAACTTCCTATTTTTAATGGACTCCACTAATTCAGACATGAATATGGACAAGGGAGTGATGGTCGGAATATTAATGATTGGATGCATCTCTTCATCTATGTATAATTAAGCAGTGTGTAGTGCTTCAACCATTAGTAAGGCAAGTTGTCCTACGATCCTCAATATTCTCATCAGTACGTAAAGGCACCCTTTGTTAGCTGTAATGATGTAGGACCTTTTATGTCTGATGGCTCTTGGCTATGTATGCAACAAACCAAAATATGAAAATCTATATGGATGAAATTAAGGTTGATGTACCACTGATTTAAAATTTAATATTTATTTGAACAAATCTACAAGAATAGTGTTAGTTGCCCTATAGGATAAACTAACACATGTATTATCAAATTAAGAAAAGTAATGAGTAATGATTTATTTTTTATATCCAAACTCGGTATATGAAACATAACAATCATCATGAAGCACAAAAGTCACAAGCATCTATCATTTTAAATTCAAAATTAACCCAAATAAGGCTTTAGTCGACATCTAGAGATGTTTGCACTCTCTTAGCGAACTAAGGGATGGTTTATTTTATGCAAGGATCTTGGGTTCCTATAGAGACAAGCCATTATAGTTAATTACTTCTCCTAAGAGAAAACTTTCAATTAAAGTGGAGATTAGTTCCTAAGCCTCTAATATAATTATTTATATAAGTGAGTTGCCATATTATTAAGAAAATACCAATCGTTCCTTCAAAAAATTCTTGTTTATTAAGAAAGGACATGTTTACATCCTTATGGATTTATGTCTACTTAGAATGAGTTGTCAGCTAACAACCTAATACACAAGCAATCATCCTAAATGTAGTGTACGATAAAGTTAGCTCTATCCTAAGAGTTCAAAGGATCCAATTAGACTCCAAATTATTTCAATATTAGTAATTTTCACTTTACTTTCAAGTTATGCTAGCAAGAAGGCTCACTAAAAACTCTAATTTTTTACTTTATGTAATTAACCTAACTAGATTTTATAACCACCCAAATTCTGAAGAAATTTCATTAACATAATGATTATATACTAATATGAATAATGCAACATCCTCCATATATATATAATAAGATATACCGGCTTAAGGTCTTCAAACTCTAGGTTTTTTTATGGAATTCCAAAAGAGATTTTCCTCCAAAGGAGAGGACATCTTCTTTTGGCGCCTCACTTGATATACAACTCGATCTATATGCAAACTACTTTTACAGACACTTGTACATTTATATTCCATTTTATAGGTACATTGTAATGGCTGTTACAAGAAAAGTAAAGGGCTGCATAAAAGAGTTGGCATATAAATATAGTGCAACAGTTGTGTAATACCCTAATGACTCTACTGCAATACATAAAGAGCCTAATTACACTAATAGAAATTAAAGGATTTAAAATCTAAGAAAAAAATTATTTATAATTCACTAGGAGAAATTTATTTATAATTCGTTAAAGGATTGAGAGAGAGATCCTTCAGTCCAACACACATGCCCTCCAAGTGGAAACAAGAATGATGCATAGGGTCAATGTATTATTATTGTTTGATTAAGGGATATAAATTTTATACACCAATGCCTTCCCCAAGTGGAGGCTAGCATGGTTCATGAACCTTTAATTTGGTTATTTAAGATTTATTGAACCCCTTAATTAAAAAACAACCCTCCTAAATCTCTAAATACACATATAAACAATCACATAACCCACAGTGCATGTAATAAATCTAAGAAATATGAATTGATAAATTCCCAAATATTAGAGTAAAGTTATAACCAACTTAAATGGAATTGATGAATGGATGGTTTATTATGAATTTTTAAAGAAACAAATAAATAAAAGTCTTATTGGCTTTAAAATTTTGATTGTCATTAAAAACATGCTTAAATAAATATAGAAAATTTACTGAAAATAGCATATAGTAGGCAATTAATGATGGTAAAATTTGAGCCAAATTATGCATATATTTAAGGAGTTATTTATATAATTAGGAAAAACAGATAAAGGAAATAATTCCTTAGATACTTTAAATTTGGCTTGGTTTTATTTTGAAATGAAAGAGAGTTTCAAACTAAAGAAAATGATATATTATCAGTAATATTTAGTTAAGTAATTAATTTATTATAATTTTTTGGTAAATAAGGGATTAAAATGTTTTTAAAATAATTTTTATTAAATTATCCCAGTTTCACATTTATTACCAATTATTGTGCCATCGACAATCATTGGAAATTTGATGGAAATGCAATGACAATGCAGTGCGGCATTAAATGGATGTGGTGCGGTGGAGCCACTTGATCAATTATGGTTTTGATTGGACAACTGCGATTTCGTCATATTAAAATCCAAATGATTAGAAGAGTTGCACGATCTAGATAAGTACCAAAGCGGAAATATCTGAACCATTTATCATGTGATCAGTGGTCCATATTTGTTTAGTTTAAAAATCATTAAAATAAACCCTAAATGATGAAGAAAGCCCAGTTTGTAAAAATGACTGAACCAATGTCTGCAAAACTTTAAACAAAGCTTTAAGGGTGCACAATGAATAATGGGGAGGTGTTTTTATGGTATGAAACACACTATTCACAAAGCTAATTAGATATAAAGCCCTTAAACTAGGGTTTAGGATTTACCTCAATTGGCTGGACCTCAGAAGGTGTTTTAGGGCTCATTTTGCTTGTTCAGATGTCAAAATCAATCCTCCAAAAGATGCCTCAACTTGAGAAGCTCTATATTAGTTGCTATTGGAGTTGGATAGATTTTAAGCAAGGTTGGCCGGAAGTTTACCACCAATGATCCAATTTAGATAAAGTATTGTCTTATACTACCTATGATCCAGTAGTAAACACAAAGTAATGAGTAGGTTATCTCCAATAAAGTATCTAGCCCTGAGGGATTTGTATTGTTCCCATAAGTTTCTTTAGAAAAGATCTGGCAGTCTTACCTAGTCCTTCCGAAATCTTTTATGGAATTGCTCATGAAATTAGCATTCTCAATATTATGCCTTGAAGAGGACTCGAACCTCCACGCCCTCAACTTGCTTTCTCTAAGAATAGTCTTTCTTGAGATATCTCCCATTGATCGGGGGCATAGGTCGTCGGCCTTCTAGGTCGATGAGTTGATAGGCTCCTCCCTGGTACACCTTCTCGATGAGGAACTAGTAGTATTTCACTTTACGATTGTAGAGAAAATCATTGGGAGCTAAAATGAAATTAGAACCAACTCTAGGAGGCTATGTTTTAGTAAGATAATGCAAAGATCTTGAATGAGTCAT